GTGTACATACTCCCTTTTTGGCTCATTTAGTATCTCTTTGGATTTGAGACTTTAGTCTTTGCAACTTTACAGATCTTCTTTATGCACCAAGAGCTTGTAACACTCCAAAGAGAAAGGAAAACTTGAAATCTCATCATATGACCCCTTTAATTGAAAATTATAGTTTCATTTCTTATCATTATTACTTTTCATTCCTATATTTCAATTGTTAAAGCACATACTCCACTTCTGAAAGAACATTTGAAGCAAGGAGACTTCCATCTGATTTTAATTTCCATTCCACTGCCTGTGGATAATTTCTCAATGTTAAGGGAAATAATAATGAACAACTGTCACCCCTGACGTATGAACCTTTCCAAGAGCACATAAACTACTAAATGAATTACATCCTCAAAATAGTCTACTGCAGATTTAACTAGAGATGCACCGATTGAGCGGCCAGTGATCGGAATCGGGCAATTTTTCGCATGACCGGCCCGGATCGGTGATCGGCCGGTCAGTCTCACGTCTTGCCGATTCCAAGCCGATCCTTTTATTGCCAGCGGTGCCGAGTGCACAGTCTGAGTGAGTGTGTGAGAGAGACAGAACACACAAAGTAACTCACAGAAATGTATAGATGCATACTGCAGTAGAAAAAAAAGGATATTTACAAAATATGATTTAGGTAAGCAACATTATACGGGGTTGATGTTTCCCCGAATATCAATATCAACATGATTGCAATGTTACACTGATTTTATACAATAGTATTTCAATAAACAAGAAGTAAAAATTAAGTGACAATATTTAGACAAAATATTGACTATTTTTGCTCAATTTCGCTGACGAAAATAGATTTGACTAAACCAAACAAAGAAAATATGTTTATAAAAGGTAAATACACCCATGTAAAAAAAAAAAAAAAAAAATCCTCCTAGAAATAAAACAAAGGCCTATTCACACCAAATGCAAGAAATTGTATGTGAATGGTCTATCCACAGCAGGTGTGAAAAGAACATTTGTCAGGTTGAATGACAAGTGGTACAGTAAATGGTTTGCCAAGAAGTAATAAAAAAAGGACAAAAGGACAAAAAAAGGGAAAATATGTTTGCATTTACTATGTGTTTTAATACTTCTGAGAAATGCAGAACAGTTCTCTGTACGGCTGTAAAAATTAACCATTGTTTCTTTTTTGTTTTGTTTTGTACATTTACTGCTATTAACAATGTAACCAAAAGCTTTATGTCAGTCAGTGTGCCCTCCTTAATTAAACATCTGTTGGATTCTTGCCATGTAAATGTTCGCTCCTATCATCATGTTCGGAGTAGACAGGAACCCATTTATTATATTCAATACTTTCCTTGTTCCAAATATTAACAGTGGTTCCATTTCAACAGAACACACTCCAAACCATTATTGTGAGTCCACCTGCTTGGGCTTTTAAAAAGCTGAAGTTGAAGAAAGTGCACATACAGTATGTCATGTATGAAATACTTTAGTGTGTTTTTGCCATTTTTAAAGACAATCACTATCGTCTCATTCCTCATTCACCTAATTTTGAGTTCCACTGAAACACAAAATCATTTAAATGTTTTGTGTTGTATTTTACTGAGTGCACCTTTAGGTCTATGTTACGGGGACAGAGAGCTTAACGTGCTGCAAATGAAAAAAGCAATTAACCAAATTAAGAAAACATCTTCATCAGTTTGACAATGCATGTGCTGCAAATACTCACAACGCGACCAAATACAGAAATGCACTGCAAAAACTCGCAACACAATCAAACACAGACACATGATGCAAATACAGAAGCGCACTACAGAAAAAAACATGGTTACTATAGTTAAACCATGATAATCACAAATTACACTAACCATAGTTTAACCATGGTATTTGTGTGGTACTGATTACACAAATGGTAATAATCACCAAATAAATAAATAAATAAAAATGGTAATGTAAAATGGTAAACACTAAAAACATAATTACTACACTTTTACTGTAATAAAACCATGTTTAATTTTTTTAAGGGTTGTTGGGGTCCCCTTGAAACATTTTCGATGTGGTCTGTGCTACATGCAGCACCTTTCTGTTTTTGGTCATGTTGTGAGTCTTTGCAGCGCATTTTCAGAGCGTGTGTTGTCAAACTGATGAAGATGTTTTCTTAATTTGCTGGTGCTTTTTCTATATGCATGTGTTTTCTTAAGTTGCAGAGTGCTGAGCTCTCTCGGCCACCATACTATATGAATTACTATAACAAACCCCTGCAGTCTCAGAAAGAGATCCCAATCAGAGTAGTATTATATAGTATATAGGATAGTGCACCCCAAAAAATTTAAATCTGTCATCATTACTCACCCTACACTTGTTCCAAACCTGTATAAGTTTCTTACTTCTGTTAAACACAAATGAAGATATTTTGAAGAATGTGGGTAAACAAACAGTTGACTGTAGCCATTGATTCCATAGTGTTTTTCTTCATATTATGGAAGTCAATGGCTACCGTCAACTGTTCGGTTACCAACATTCTTCAAAATATCTTTTTTTGTTTGTGCTCAACAGAAGAAAGAAACTCATACAGGTTTGGAACAACATGGGAGTGAGTTAATTAATAATGATTAATTATGACAGAATTTTCAGTTTTGGCTAAACTATCCCTTTAATGAGTAGCATTAATCTAGCAAACAGAGCATTTGGCTTTGATTATTTGCCAGTCAGAATAAGCCTCAAGCTTGTTCTGTGTATGCACATGTATATAATAACAGGAAATCATCAGCCAATTAAAGCTCTTTACTCAAGACAGATGTGAGTTGTTCTGACCCCTCTGAGGAGCTGGGTATTCATTTAGTCAGCAACACAAGGATATTTTCAATGCTATTACTCCTGCAGTTTCAACTAATCAAAATGAAGCAGGCTGTGTGCGTGTGTGCATATTTTGCCCTTCGCAAAATCTGCTCAGACTTTAAACACTGAGCATGTGATTAAAACGTTTACACAGAAACCCAGTCTATGCACAGATTCTGTAAACAGTTCTCACTGAGAATTTATTCCACAGCTACAGTATGACAGTCGTCCATGCTGTGCTCTATAAAAAGGAGTGTCTCAGAAGCTTGAATGACATTCTGACATTATCTCTAGTTACTCCACCACTACACCACTTGTCAAGAGAGTTCACACACACCACTTACAAGTACACATATTTAAGGTCATGTATTATAGAAAATGTTTACTTAGAGTAATAATCTGAGACACATTATCTGCAAAATTGACTACAAAAAAAACTATTTATAGTGAATTCATAAATGTAACAATTACAAATCATATGGGACAATTTTAGTAGACCATTAAATTTTGAAATAGTTAAAACATTACTGTTAACTCAAACTGAAAAAAGAGACATAACTGACAACCATAGATGTTGATTGAGAGCTGAAGTAATTTCTGTGCCACTGTGAAGAACTGTAAAAATAAACATTGCTTTCAAAATAGCTTTCTGAATACGCCACCAGTCAGTCCCGCCCTCAGCTCACCTATGAATGGTTTACTTATAGTTCTCTCTGCACACCCCCACACAAAGGGGATAGGAGAAAGTATCTGAACACCATTAAAGTCACATACTTCAAGTTGTTTAATATAATATTTAAACCTTTAATGTTCTTTTAAACTAAGTGTTTGATGTAAGTGCTAACATGTCTTTTGCAAGATGAACATTATTTTATCAAGTGAGCTATGACACAAACATACATTTGTAGCTGAGGTCAGTAGCCTACCTGTGTAATAGGTAGACTTGTGCCGGTATTCGGTAATGCGATATATCACGGTAATGAATATGCACGATATTGTTATCGTGGGCACTTCTAAATAACGTGAATAATTATATATTACAAATTATTCAGAATTTTGAATGCATTTTAAGAATACTTTTCCCATCAACTGGTCAAAATGCACAACACCGCTGTATGCTGCGTGAAAGACGCGTGCGCACTCTGATGTAAACAAGCGCGGACGAGAAGCACATGGCGGAACATGTGAGAGACGCTCTGGATGAAAGCGCACTTTCACTCTCTGACAGCAGATGGCGCTAAACTGCAGAAATGATAATAATAATAATATAATCATTCATTTAAATGCAGCCTTTACCCCGGAAACCCTGTAAACAAAGCAGCTGCACTACTTTCTGTTTCTGAAAGGTGTTTAAATGATTTAAACAGCCATTCAGATTTGTGTATTTGCTATGATGTTCATCACAGCGCCAAATACTTACATATTTAGACTTAATAGGCTATTTATTTTCAAACTTTTTTTTACATTTTAATCTGGACTACAACATGCCCTAGATATTGTTTGAAAGTGTTTTGATTCTTTATTGTTCGGTCACACTTTACATTAGGGCTTCATTAGTTAACATTAGTTAATTCATTAGTTAACATAAACTGCCAATGAAAAATTCTTCTGAACATTCATTAATCTTAGGTATTCCAATATTTAATAACAGGTTGTTAAAATCTAAAGTTGCAACTGTGTTATTTAATGAGCTAACATGAACTAAGACTTGTATTTTTTAAACAAGGATTAATAACTTCTGTAGCAAATGTTGCTATTGCTCATTGTGAATGTTAATGCATTAACTAAGGTTAACTAATGAGGTCTTATTGTAAAGTGATACCTATTGGTCTTTATAGTTCTTTTGCACTTTAATCTGTGTAAAACTTTTGACTTTATACATTTTTCTGTATTGCTTTATTGCATTTAAATGTTCAGTTATTTTTGTTATGAGAAAAATGTTATTAAACCTGTTATACTGTATTATGACAGCACTTTTTAAAACTAAATTCCAATACCGTGATAATACCGCATACCGTGATAAAAGCATTAGCAATTAATCGCAACATGAAAATTTGATACCGGCATATCCCTAGTAATAGGATTCTACAGAGTCCACATATACTTTAGAAAGATGTCAAGTGAGAGAGAGAAATGTTGAACAGAACCACTGTTTGTGTGTGTATTTGCATACTCACATCTGTGTCTGGCCCTTTATCAGCTCCAGGGCATGAGAATGTGACAAATTCATGGCAACGTTTATGGACCACAAAGCAGCACACTGACAGAGAGAGAAAGAGAGTGATATGTTACATTTACAAAAAAAAAACAACAACACATAACTGTAAAACACTGGTAAATAAAAATATGAGCAAACAGTTCAAACCAAGTTTCCTAAACAAAGCTAATAAACTCTGTTACTCTTCCTGCTTTGTGTGTATATGTGTATTCTTTATTGCGGCAGTGCAGAGGAAGACAATGCTAATAAATCAGTAATTTAAGAATGTACAAGTGTAAATTAGCAGACTACACTAATACAAAAGACTGACTCAGTGTGAAATCAACACCAGCATCATATTTTAAAAAGAGAAATTATTGCATTATAACAGATTACATATTTTTATTGTATCAACTGTCCAGAGAAAGACATCACGGACATACCATGGCCATACATGGATGGAAAAAAATATATTTATGTATTTATACATACATACATACATACATACATACATACTGTAAACACCAGGTTTTCAGAAATGTATTATTTGTATTCATGTTTGTTCCACATGTTGGCAATATGACTAAAATCACGATATGAGTAATTTTATTTAATGATAATCATATTACAATATAATTATTTTTTGCTGGATAAAAGGTTGATATTATACTGTACCAAATTGTGAAAGTTCACAACTCTACTCAATAGTAATTTGTATATCACAGCAAAAACAAACAGCCTAACTAATGTAAGTACAAAGTAACAGGAAGTTCTCAAACTTACTAAAGACAAGTAAACTTAATAGTCTTAATAACTAATTACAAGCAATAGGATGAATAAATACAATACATCAAAGATACAAATAAAATAATCAGTGCTTTATGTTTATCAGGTTGGTCTATACCAACATAATTGTATCAAATGCAAAATAAAACCATATAGTCCCCACTGTATGAATTAATATACAGTGGGTACGGAAAGTATTCAGACACCCATAAATTTTTCACTCTTTGTTATATTGCAGCCATTTGCTAAAATCATTTAAGTTAATTTTTTTTCCTCATTAATGTACACACAGCACCCCATATTGACAGAAAAACACAGAATTGTTGACATTTTTGCAGATTTATTAAAAAAGAAAAACTGAAATATCACATGGTCCTAACTATTCAGACCCTTTGCTGTGACACTCACATATTTAACTCAGGTGCTGTCCATTTCCTCTGATCATCCTTGAGATGGTTCTACACCATGGCTGCAATATAACAAAGAGTGAAAAATTTAAGGGGGTCTGAATACTTTCCGTACCCACTATACATTAATCCTTATTCAAGTCACAAAACATATTCAGCAGTGAGTGATTTTATCTATTGTTTGATTAACATTATTAACATGTGACACAGACAGCAACGGGTTTATTAGGCTTTTATCACTAATGCACAGATACAATACATCGAAACAAATACTATTTTTTCCCCAAATGTTTATGTTTGCTTAAGATATACCCAGTTGTGCTTACACAAATACTCACAAGACGAGCATTTTCATATAATTTTGTGAGTATTCGACTGTTCAAATCGCAGTAAGCCATGAAAGAGAACTCACAGGGGACAGGGGCACTGTGCGTAAAATCCCCTTTATTCACTTACTGTGCTTGAACCGTTAAAATGCACACTGTCCCTGGGTCTACTGGGCAGAAAACTCAGTTATTAATATTTTAAGAGTCCTTGTTTCCTGTTTTGTTTATTGACCACAGGGCTACTGAACGTTTGATTTTGATTGGTTGATAAATGTTTCAAGGTTTGCAATTATTATCCAGTAAACATACAGTTATGAAGTAGTTCCAGGTCTCTCGACAGCATTTCACTTCCATTTCACTTAGCTAAATAATTTCAGTTATTTAAAAGGCCATTCCAAGACACTGACCAAGCCAACGAATAAGACAAAAAATAGGATTAAAATTACAATTTCAATATTTTCCTTACTAAATTGTATTATGTAAAGCCTGTTCTATCTGTTGTGCTCTTCTGTCTCTGCACATACAGACACTCAAGCACACACAGAGGAGCACTCGAGCACACAGAAACTTATCAGTGCTAACCTGTGACTTATCAATAAAATTGTTTAACGACTGAAACAACATTTCTCAGTAGTGAGCTGGTAACGGCACTGTTTTTTTTTTTTTAAAGTTAAATTAAACTTACCGATTCGATATTGGTAGAGACCAGGGTATGAAATTAAATGGGCTTAAGGCGAAAATGCCACCAACATAAACAAATTTAACCCCCCATTAAAAAAAAAAAATGTAAATAAAATAAAAATTCAAGATAAGGGGGCATAGAAATGCCCCAGTACAATTAAACTAAATTTATTAACACTTTGATCTGACGAACCATATGAACATGTCTGTTTCCGTTTGTCAGTGTCTGTTGGCGTATACAGTGCATATACAATGTAAATGAGATTGATGAGATAACATTAAGCTAATGACACATGGTCTCCAAATGATTGGATTTCCAATTCAATCTGATTTTGTAAGTGATCTGATGGTAACTGCAAATCTTTCCCACACCTTTAGCCAAGTCTTCAGAGGCAGATGCTTCTACATACTGTATGGCTGTTGGAGGCTGTTTCTTCTGCCTGTTTCAAGAACGGCATGACCTCATCACTGGTGGTGAATGAAGTGAGTCCATCATCTAAATAGAAGCTTCTCGTGATGAACTCTCACCTGTGCTGTTTGGTGTTACACTCCTTGCACTGCTTGGACTTGTTTCAGTCTTTGTCAAAGTGACTGGATAATGCACAGCATTTGAAGCATTTCATGTTTGAATGATGATCACAGGCGGAAAGGTGCTATTATTTTCTTTGTTTTTACAAAGCATTTACTTTTAATAATATCCTAATACTGATGTTATACTTTTAGTTATTTTGAATTTTTGAGTTGACCTCTAAAACCGAATGTCTACATTTTGGCTAAGAAATATTTAGCATTTTACCTTTTTTATATTATTCTGAACATAGGATATGTTTATGACAGATTTTTATAATATTTGCCTTAATATTTCATACATAGTTTCTGCAAAGATATTTAACAAGTTCATTTGTTTTGCATGTATACCATGTTGACCACTTCATGTGTGGTGAACTTTCTTTAACCAGAAAAAAGTAGGGCTGGGTGATATGGCAAAATATCAGAGGTCGACCGATAGGTTGGACCACACTGGCTGATACAGATTAATCAACCGATAGTTTTAAAATGGATATTGAACCAAAACTAAAATAGTGCTTTATTATTTAACCAAAAAAAAAAAAAGTACTGAACCATACTTTGTAAATATATATTGATTAAAGTTAGTTCATAGTTCACTGACTGATGTTAACAGATGCAACTTTAAAATTTAAAAATGAATTTGCAAATGTTGAATTAACATACTCAATAATTTTACAGCGTTTATTAATCTTAGTTAATGTTACAAATGGACACAAATTGCTTGTAATGCTTAAAGATGGCCATCTTTAAATATCTACACAAAGGCCATATCATTGAAATTATATTACATATGTATATTGTATGTATACTCTCACACTTTATTTGCTTCTATTTTAGAACACTTGATGATTATCTAATCAAACAAAATATGTTAGTCACTAGGGCTGTGCAATATATCGAAATTATCGAAATATCGCAAATGTACATATCGCAATATGCATATCGCTACAGCTTGCAATTTTTGGGGCCATGAACAAAAGACAGAGAAAATCACTTACTGCTCTTACCTAAATAACTTTTGTAGCTTAAATAAGAATCAGTACATATTGAATTCAAAGAGTAAATACTAAGCGGTGTTTTCTTTTTCTTTTTTATTATTCAGTTCCTAAACTCATGTTAAAATGACATTTTTATGTAATGCTCGAGTAAAACACATACCGTTCACTTTCAGAAGTTGTTGTAGGGGTGCTTTCTTATTAGAATCAGAATGAACCGCCAACACGAAGAGCTCTCTAAGAGCGCGCTGAACTCGTTCAGTCTTTTTCTCTCAGTAGAGTAGTCAGGAGGAGAACGATGTGATCGCTCGGCTCCGAAGCGAAAAGCTGAATATGCGCTGCATCTGCTGCCTACTTATACTCACGCTGTGATCAGTGGCAGCTGGATGCAATAATCGCATGCCAATGTGCATTGGCTCGTTTAGTTTACACTCGAAGTGGATTGGTCTCTCTAAGCGAGATCCCAATTTCGTCGGTCATCCGACGTGACGTCGAGAGTGACCGACTGAAAGGGAATGTCTCGGTTACGTATGGTAACCCTCGTTCCCTGAAGGAGGGAACGGAGACGTCACGTCCCGTCGCCACAGCTCCTGTACCACCGCTGAGCGGCCGGGTCACCGGCTCGGCTCCTCAGTGAAAACCTGAATATGCGCTGCATCTGCTGCCTACTTATACTCACGCTGTGATCAGCGGCAGCTGGATGCAATAATCGCATGCCAATGTGCATTGGCTCGTTTAGTTTACACTCGAAGTAGATTGGTCCCTCTAAGCGAGATCCCAATTCGTCGGTCATCCGACGTGACGTCTCCGTTCCCTCCTTCAGGGAACGAGGGTTACATACGTAACCGAGACGTTATTTAATGAGTTATCGCATATCGCATTTTTCTTTAATATCGCACAGCCCTATTAGTCACACACCAAGCAAAAAAACACAAGACAACTCTAGTCTAGGACAACTCGCAGGTAACACACACATCGTGTTAAATTCAAGCAGTGGTCCAAAACAGTTTATTTGAGGTTTACTTCAAAAATGAACAAAGTGGCATAGATGAGTTTGAAGTTCGGTGTTTAAAATAAAACCGCAAAATGGAAAGAGAAAGCACAAACTATATTATAGCTATCTAAATGAAGCATACAGACTTTATTAGAGCCACAAAAAGACAAACGTTTCACTGAAAAATGCACAATACACAATCTTCCAGCCAAGGGTGAAGTCATTATGTACATTAATAACAATTTGGGACAAATGTAATGTAATTGAATGGAAAGATATGTAAATGGTGCTCTGTGGCACGGCA